TGACATCCTTTTGATTGTGACTTTGTAATAAGCATCTTTTGTATCTCATTGTAATATTCAATTTACCACTGAAGAGGGTCTGTAAATTTAGATCGAAACGCGTTTGGTTCCTTTGTTAATACAATATTTTCTCATGAGAAAGGGGTAATTCATGTATATGAGAGGGGTCACTAATGTATATTAGTATTAGATTTGGTTTCCGGGTTTGAGCCGCGTGGATTCATCTTTGTTTGATTCCGACGTTTCGCGAACACTTCAATTCGCTTCATCTGGGAGGAACGACCCGAATGACCCAAACGACCGGCATCGGGTCGTTCCTCCCAGATGAAGCGAACTGAAATGTTCGCGAAACGTCGGAATCAAACAAAGATGAATCCACGCGGCTCAAACCCGGAAACCAAATCTAATACTAATATACATTAGTGACCCCTCTCATATACATGAATTACCCCTTTCTCATGAGAAAATATTGTATTAACAAAGGAACCAAACGCGTTTCGATCTAAATTTACAGACCCTCTTCAGTGGTAAATTGAATATTACAATGAGATACAAAAGATGCTTATTACAAAGTCACAATCAAAAGGATGTCAATACATATAAAATAATCGCAAACGGAAAACGGAGGTTACGCAATAAAATTAAAATCAAAAAAATATGACCATAAGATCCGTTGAGACAAAAACAACATGTGGTGGTAATCGTCCTTGTTAGTGGTCCAGTTTCGTTACTCACAAAAGCATTTATTAGGGTGCCGTGATGAAACTCTAATAAAAATTAATATGTATAAAAGTAACAGAACTAGAAAAACCAATTCAAGTAAAAGCTTAAAAAGCAAAAAATTATCTAGATGTCTCGAAAATGTAACGTTTGTCAAAGATATAGAACAATGTTAGTCTGATATTGAATATCTCCGAATGCCGAGAGCGAAACAATATATGTGTTTATATTTTGAATCGCAAACGGCACAGACACTAAAATCGTCAAAGGCGAATAAATAATGTTACACAAATTAAAAACAAAGCGTTATAACCGTTACCCAGATTTTCCGTGTCAATTTGTGAGTTAAGACCGTGTTTTTAAGATTTAATAAAAATCATTTCAGCAATTATCCTTTTAAAATAAAACCGTTTTTTATGTAAAATTTTAACATCATTCCAGCAAAATTCGTGATTGCAATTGACACGATGCTCCTGAACAACTGAAAGATCAGAAGTTAAATCCCTCGGCAATCTCTTAAGCTCAGAAATGCATGTCGAGAGCCTTCTGCTAGTTTGGCCAACATATGTAGAGCTACAGTCTTTGCATTTCAACTCATACACAACATTGTTTTGAAAATCATGCGGTAGCCTATCTTTATGCGCGCGAATTATACCCGATAATTTATTAATAATGAAAAAACACATTTTGTTATTATTATTAAAAATACTGCCAAGTCTGTCAGAGATCTTTCCCAAATAAGAAATGGCGTTAAAAAATTTTGGAGTTGATGAAAACGAAGAACCGTCAACCGCTTTAGGTATATTCATTTTGTTAATTAGTCCCAATACTCTTCTGTCAATGATTCTAAAAATAAAATCAATGGGATAACCATTACTAAAGTGCGGATAACAAAATCGAAATTCTTGAGATGGATGGCTCAACAAAATTATTTTATCAACCAAACCTATAATGGTGCCGATTTTGTGTTGTGGATAGAAAGAAAAAAAATTAAGATATCGGCCCGAATAGGTTGGTTTATGGTACCAATCGAAAGTAAATCTGTTATCATTAATAATATTCGAAGTGTCTAAAAAGTTAATCATATTATTCTCGCTAATCTCAACCGTAAATTGTAAACGTGGATGGAACGAATTAAAAATTTATAAGATGTCGTTAATAAAGATCGACGGAACAGCTAAAATAATATCGTCAACATACCAAAAATAAAATGGCAAAGGAACAGAAATCATTTGAAGGTCCCTCTCCTCCAAGTCCTGTAAAGCAATGTCTGCGATAATGGAAGAGAGAGGGGAACCCATCGAACTGCCGAAAATTTGTCTATAAATATGTTTCCCAAAACTAAAAAAAAGTAAAATTAAGAACAAATCTAAGAGTTGTAATAAATTCTTCTTTAGGAATCATCGTGGAAGTCTCAATGAAGCACCAACGTTTTTCAATGCCGACTACCGCTAATTCAAGCGGGATATTAGTAAATAAAGAGACCGCGTCAAGAGAAAGTAATTTATAATTTCTTTCACATAAAGAGAAGATAAAGATTTTACTAACTCAAAACTATTTCTAATTCTGCTATTAGAAACCGGAATTTTTGAATAAATAAGTTTATGTAAAAACAACGCAAGATTGTATAGCGGACTGTTAACAGATGAAACTATGATTCTTAATGGGATGTCAGGTTTATGGATCTTGGGTAAACCATAAGCTCGCCGAAGAATGCCATCACTGGATTGTAAAAACTTATATATAGTTCTGTCAATATAAGGTTTATTTTTCCATCTGGTTAAGATGTTACACAGATCTACGATCATTTTTTTAGCGTTTGGTTCCTTTGTTAATAAAATATTTTCTCATGAGAGAGGAGTGCCACTAATATTATTAGTATTATTGCATTAAAACAGCTGTGCTTAAACTCTTACATGCCCTCAGGGTTGGGTAAGTTAACTTTTTTTTTAAACTAAGTTAAGTTAAAGTTAATGGCTTTGAAAATTTAACTTAGTTAAGATAAAGTTAACCCACAATGAAATTAATTGAATTAAAAGTTAAATTAATAAAAAAAGTAATTAAAAAGTTAAAAGTTAAATTTATTTTATTTCATAACTTCACGGTTTCAATTTTACAAATAACGGAAAAAACAAATATACCTTATTTGGAAACATGTTTTATTTACAGATACTTATTAAATTTAAGTAATAACCCAGCAAGAAACATTAAATTAACATTTAGAAACGTTGACTTCATGTGCATTGTTTGGACATTTTTTAATAATATTGCATTTATATTTTTCACATGTTATTTTGTGATATGATTTTTCTGAATATTGTTTAAACGTTTCAAAAACATTACAAAAAATATGTTTTTCAAATGTTACTTTAACATTTATTTGAGATCAATGCAACATCTTAAAAATATTTCTGACGATTAAAACGTTGTGGCAATCCTATTTCAACATTATTGAAACTTCCAAATCGCGGTCAAAGTATGTTCATAATGATGTTCAACACAATATTAAACTCTACATATTTGACAATATTATAGGTTCTTGAATATCATTATAGTAACATTGTATTAATGATTTCTTGTTTATTGAAAGAGAAAGTTTTTTCGAAATTTTTATTGGACATATTTCCTCAAAGATTCTCGAAAATGAGCCCTATTGCAGTAAACAGCCTTTTGACATTTCGCGACATCTTTATGGCATGGTTAACTTCAAAATAATTGAATTAAAAGTTAATAGTTACCAATAAAATGTAACTAAGTTAAGTGAAAAGTTAAGAATGTAAAAATGTAACTAAGTTAAAGCTATTTAACTTTTTAACTTTTTAAGTTAACTTTTAACTTTTTAACTAGTTACTACCTAACTCTGCATGCCCTTTATTTAATTATTGTTTGTTGTTAAAATTTATAGTTGTATTAATTTCTCTTTGTAATAAGTTGTGTTAATTTCTCTTTGTAACAGACGTCATCTGTTAAATCAATATGCTTCATATTTTTAGATATCAGAGTTATGTTACTTTCTTCTATTCTTTGCCTATGACAAATAGCCACCTCAAAAAACGAAAAAATAATATTTTACTCGAGTTACATTTGAGACATTATACATCTCGCTCATTTGCTGCAACAATGACATAACTCAAAAATCGCTCTTATGAGTTATTAGTACAAGAAGAAATGTTGGTATATGTACTATTTACAGCTAAAACAACGATTACTTATGATATTACTGTACTGAATTATACCAATATGGTATTTTAAAATTCTCTTACAAGGTTATAGCAATTCAAAACATTAAATCATGTCTCCTGAAAAATCATATTTTTTTAGTTATGTCATTGTTGCAGCAAATGAACGATATATGTAATAATTTTACATAAAATTTGTTTCCAGGTATTGTCAAATTTTATGAATTTTATATTAATTGTAAATATTATATTATATGTCATTGTTTGACATATTTGCATTATGCTAAATTAGCAAGAGAATTAGAATGGACTATTTGGGACAAATACAATGTGTCAAATATAACAAATTTTTCATTGCATTGAAATAATCAATCGAAATCAGCATGGCAGTCAATGCGTTAAACATTAGCAATTTTATCGGCTTCGCTTTCTATTGTGTGTCTGATTTGAAACGCAAAGTGATTTTTACTTGATTATTAATCACGAGATGTAAAACACCACCAGTTGTATACTCCGGCAGATTGGTGAGGTGCATTGTTTCATAAACGACACCTTGACCAGCAAAGGCGGCATCACCGTGAACCAACACCGCCAGTGACTTTCTGCCATCTAAAGAAACGATTTGATACGAAAACCGACTATTATTATTATCCATTATATTAAGGGGACCAGATAGATTTCAACAAAAATTCGATAATATTCGAACAACGGTTGAAGACAAATGAATCAACATACATAAAGTTGGTTTTTTGCAAGTTATTTAATGCATTTTTAGGAATAAAATAAGCATTAATAATAAAAAATATTAATAATTAAATGAGATATTGTTAATTTAAAAAAATCTGAATTTTGCGGTTTTGCCGCGATTCCGGGAGAACAAATTGGAATTTTTTAATTCTGAAAGCGTCATTTTGTAGCTGGGATCTCCTACAGACTAAACTTAAATTTAAAAAAAAAACATCAAAATTAGAGTAATAATGAACAAAAATCAAGAAAAGTTGAAAAATTCAAGATATTTGTTATTAAAACGATATTAGAGAAAATTGATTTTTAAATGCAAAAATATGTTCAGTTTATGTAATACATATTTATTTTTAATTTAAGAAAAAAAGCAACTTGATGTCTTTAATCGTTCATGAATTATCGTAGCAAAACTAACGTAAAATGCTATTTTGAGAAAAATATGTTTAAAGATTAAGAAGAAGATTACAGCTAAACAGTATTTCTTATATACTTTAAAGGAAATCAGATACCGGCTATATTTATTTTATCAAATAAAATAGTGATCATTCTCTTTCTCTGAAGAACAGATAAACAAATTCTATCTATCTTAGATAATGGCAGTTCAAAAACGCGCTGCTGTCTAAAGCGGACATTCTCTCTCTACCGGCCTCACATATTTTTGCTCTCTTGAACTTAATTTTGCGAATATCGAAGTCCGTCTTGGACCAAAATGTTTTTAAAAGATTGTACTAACTGATTATATAAAAAACCAAAAATCTTTTTTTGACGTTTCAAACCTACCTGGTTCCTTTAACCGATTATTATTTGTTGCGAGAAAAAATTACGCGCACTTACAAGTCCGCGCGGATACGTACATTTAGAGTCACCTTTCTCGACTTGTTCAGCACGAATACGACCGACTATGACCGGATCGATCGCTTCTAAATGAGAACTATTAGCCATTACAGCGAGAAGCACTTTTTTCTTAGTTCTGAAAGTTGATATGACTAAATCAAGTGCAAGGAATATCTACTGCTTGCTCATAGTTTCGTTCTAAACATAAAATTAGAAAACCACAAGATTGAGATTATAATTAGATGTCGCATAGCATCGTTGAGAATTTTAATATTAAAAGATCCCCCTTTTACCTTTCTAAGAGTTTTTCCGAATGCGTCCCGAGATGATACTTCACGTCACCAGAGCCGAGTCCTTCTAAAGTAATCGGATTGAACTGAGTGAACAATTGAGCCATTGGTTTTGAGCATATGTTCACCAAGGTATTCAGACGACCACGGTGCGCCATGCCGATAACTACAGTTTCCACTCCTAACAAATATACAAACCATGAGAACGAGACACGGCTTTTCATTCCAGATCTTTCCGTTAATTCCAATCAGCAGAAATTTAATCACTACTTAAATGCTATTTCCTGTAATCCCATATTCTAAGCAAAACCTCTTACCAGAAGAATATTTCTCGTTAAATAATGAAGTGAACTACTAATAGGAAATCTACTAGATATTATTCTCTTTAACTTCATTTCCTCTTGGATCAAGAGAATCATGATATGTTTACTAAAAGTTTCTAATAAGAATCAAACTTGTACTGCAGATAAACGACAAAATTCCTCTAATCTTAAGAATATTGTATTTAAAATATCTCCTTTTTAGTTTTAAAAGAATCCTTTTGAGGTCATATATAAGAGAATTCCGCTAAAAATAATTAAATTATATACATGGTTTTGAGTGTACGTGATTCTAAGAAAAACAAATTTTTCTTTAAAGTACGATATAAAAAAAGCAGCAATAAATTATTATCTTTGCAAAATCAGGATAAATCAATAATCTGTACAACTGTTATATCTCGTGATTCTCAATTTGTGCTCTATATTCGACTGAATTAGTTAAAACTGACGGTAGCGCGTTTACTTTATATATTAGATTAAAAAAAAATTTAATTAAAATTTATTAAATCACTTGTCGTAATCATTTCTGTCTCTTTTTGTATTACCTTTGAAGTAGCTTTCATGCGTGATTTTAGGGATCCGGGAAAAATGTTTATATATAGATTTTGTCCATATATAGCAACACACGAAAACTTTAAATAAAATTCCGTGCATTTTACAAATTTATTGATGCACCAGTGTACAAAGATTAATATTACTAATCGATTTCTTTCGTTATTCGACGTACAAAATTATTGAGGTAAGATGGTCAAAAAGTGAATAGTTTATGAAATATTTCATATTTAACAATGATCTTGTATTGAACAATGATAGAATAAAATGTAAAATATCTTGAAAAGCATTCACTTTTCGATGATTTTATTTCAGTACTTTTGTATGTAGAATAAGCAGAGGAAATTATGCCGAAAAAACTATACAATTCCATTAAAAAAATCAAGGTTAATTTTGATAGGGATTTTTACTTTTAAAGTAAAATAAATATCTTTTTCCTATCTTTTTCCCTCGATATCCTAAAACATTTGTTGGAAACAATTCTTTATATCTTTCCTAATTTCTATTAAATTGTAAAGAACTATGTGAACCATTGTGTATAAAAAAATAATATTTATTTTTATATGATTATATGAACTTTTGTTTTTCATGAGAGTTCTAGAAAGTAAATTAGAATTAAGTTTACACTGATAAATGCCTGGAAGACGCTTGATGTTAAGGTTATGGCAAAGTCAAAATTTTGACTTCGTTAGAAAGTCACTCGTTATCATTTACCATTTTCCGCGGATGTTTCTATGCATTCCGCAGTGGCCGGTATGAACGATTCGCAACCTTCCAGGCCAAATCTTTTCTCCGTGCCATATTTTCTCGCGAGGAAATTTTCAAAGCTCACAGCTCTCATAATATTCATCCAGATCCACTTCCGATGTTCTGTCGGTAATTCCCAGGCGCCTGGTACCTCAAACTTATTCCTCAGCCAATCTAACTGATGAAGAACATGATCGATGTATGCCTCATAGATTTACAGCTTCTATTCAGAGAAAAGAATATCTAAAAAGTAAAAAAATATTTATTCAGTGCTAATAACATATTTACTTATAATTTTGTTCTCATTTTTCTTAGAATTTACACTTCAAAACTAAATTACTTTTATGTTAATCGCAGAATTCAATATAAAATCTATTATTTTAAATCTCTTACAATTACAATTGTTGAATTTGATTTTTACAATATATATATTTTTACATTGAAAAGAAATTGTCTTCAAATGACAAAATATTCATTTTCTTAAATTAATTTAAAATTTTTTTTAATATTAATTTGTTATGTTAATTTTTTACATTAATTTAATTAATCAATTAATTTGAAAGCAATTTTTCCTATTTAAATAAAAAGATTTAGATTCAAGTAAATATGTTATTAATACCCACCGAGCGAATAGATATTTTATATTTTTTAGATATTTTCCCTTTTGCATAGTGTATAATTATTCTTTTTATTTACTGTGACATCAAAATTTTTAAGAATGTACCGACTAATCTTAAAGAATGATCTTAAAGTTGTTATCATCCATTTCGTGACATCTCGAAGAAAATAATTCCGTTGAAATAATAGACAGTGACTTTTCTATCGTTAGAGCGATACGAGATAAGCCACGATAAAACGATAAGATACGAATTACACAAGATAACTCGGTGTCTCCCAAGCACGAATCGATCAATAACGCACGTATATATATTCCTCTATTCTATTAATTATCGATAATCGCCGACAACAAGAAACTCAGGTTTTCAATCACGAGTTTCTCGCGGCGCTTTAATAACTCGCGTCTACTCGAGTGTAACAAGTCTCGCAATCTAATCTGCGTATATCGATTAGAATTTTCCCGTTTATTGTTTATCATCGCGAGGTATTGTTACTCGTGTTCAAGTGCAACCTTTTGTGACGAAACTCTCTCGTCCTTCCCAAGAAAAACGAATCTCGCACGGACAAAAATCGAAGGGAGGACATGAAGGGCCGCGCATACCATATTCAGGTCGTGAATGTAGGTGTATTCAAGGCCGAGATGGCCGCAGTAGACTTGGTTCAGCCTGGTCAGTATCTCTCGCAACGGCAAACTCCTCTTCTCGCCGCCGATAACCGTGAAGGATGCAAGCGGGAATTCCCGGTTCATATCCGCTTCCGTCATACCCTTGAGATGCTCTCGCACCACGATCGCGGGCGGCAAATTCGGGGTGCCCTGCAACTTCGCTGACTCTGGGTTCTGTATGCTCAACGGATCGGTATCAGCTATCAAGTGGCCGCGTGTCTTAAACAAACAAACAATCCTTAGCTCGTCTTTTCTGTATAGAGTAAGCGAACTTATTTCGGAACAGCACCTATTTCGAAACATTTTAATTTTTTTCCTGTATTAGCCGTGAAATAATATCAAATTTTCATGTTAGTAACAAAGAACATGTTCTTTGTCATTTCTCCTCATTGCAAACACCTAAAATGTAAGAGTGAATGTTTCATTTGAGCTCAGAATAGATTCTAACTCTATGCGAGTGAATATTTCAATCGATTAAATCGAATTTGATTAAAAAGTAAATTATTTTTATTCCTAAAATGGTAAAATGTACTAAATTCATTTTTCAATTATGAATGAAAATATTTATTCGACGAACAGCACATATTTCGAAACACTAATTTTTTTCCTGTATTAACCGTGAAAATTTAATATTATTTCACAGGAAAAAAATTAGTGTTTCGAAATAGATGTTCCGAAATAGGTTCGCTTACTCTAATTGTTTGCATGAAGCCTGATCTACAATGTACTCTTTGCTCCTTCATCCTTCATAGATTTGCTTTTTTGAATTTTATCTCCGTGTAATAAAAACAAACTCACAAAAAATTTTCAGTGCAACGCAGCACCAATCTAATCTAAAAGCGAAACAAAGCATTTCTCCTCATTGCAAAAGCCTAAAATGTTGTAAGAGTAAGTGTTTCATTTTAGCTCAGAATAGATTCTAACTCTATGCGAGTGAATATTTCAATCGATTAAATCGAATTTGATTAAGAAGTAAATTACATTTTTGTTCCTAAAATGGTAAAACGTACTAAATTCATTTTTCAATTATGAATGAAAATATTTATTCGACAAATCTCAGAGTAGAAAATTCACTTTAATGAAGAATTACTCAAATTAAAGTCATTCGACTATTACTTTACTTTTTGAATGGAATTTTATTCAACAAAAATTTAGAAAGTATCAATTCAAAACTTTTAGCGGAGAGAGAGAGAGAGATAAAAAAAGCTTATGAATCGATATATCTTCGAGCTGATACCGTGACATCTCCAATTAAACATCAAATAACAATAACGTTACATCAATATTATAATTTCTTATTCAACAATATATGTGCAATATAACACAGGTTGTGCACACGACAGTTATATTAATATAATATTATTATTATCTGCTTCCTGGACTGATTATTATAATTTTCTCGGCATATGTATATGTATCTAAATAAAAATTGAGGTTCCACATTAACTCTACAAATTCCGTCGGACTTAAAGAAAAATGAAACACTCACTCTTACAATATTTTAGGCTTCTACAATATGGAAAAATGCTTCTTTTGCTTTTAGATTGGTGCTGCGTCTTTTGTAGAATTGTTTCTTATTACACGGAGATAAAATTCGAAAAAGCAAATCTACAAAGAATACGGCATCATCTCGGAAGCCAAACTAAGTATTCCATTTTGCGATTCCGAGTGGTAGTACTTTCATTATTGTTTCAATGGAGAAGCACGATTTTGATCCAGAAAATTCGAGTCATACAATTAAAAGAATTTCTCATTACAAGATACAAGCGAGCCATAATTCAGATTTTTTTATCTCCTCATTTCGAAGATAGATATCGTCGCAAATGGAAAACTAAAATAGCTAAGATTGTCCGTGACATTTGTATGGGATATACTTGATAAGCTCGGATCGTGGCATTGATATCGAGTGCGCCGTTTATGAATTGATCTCCCTGCATCGGGCTATCCGACTTGGATCGAACGGGTTCTTTAGGAAACAGCGATCCTATGAGGTATTCGGAATACGAAAAGACGACATTAGTCGATATTCAATTTGTTTGCGCGATCTACGAGACGTGTTTCATCAACCGAAAAATTACAACGTGCTTGAAAAGAAATTTAACTCTTAAAATCCCGATTTTATATTTTGAAAATGTAACGTTATTTTAATAGAGAAATATAATGTATACTGAGAGAAATTATTCGATAAGAAATTAACAAACGGATATTTCCGATCAAAATACCGATGAATTTTTGTATCCGATCAGAAAACATTCAATGACGAATATCGATTTAGAACTTTTTGATCGATTTATCTGATGAAATGCCATTATAATCGGAAGTATTCGATTAAATTTAATCGGATATCTTAATGAAATATAAAAATTTGTCAGTATTTTGACCAGAAATGTCGGTTTATTAATTTTTTAACAGATAATTTCTCTCGGTATAATTTCTAAAAAATTCGATTTGAAAAACAGTTTCAATAAGAAAAAATTAAAAAATTTGCTATAAAAATTTAAACAATTAATGAAAAAATGAAAACAATTTTTTTTTAAGTAAGTAAAAAACGCTAGAAAAGCATTCTATATATATATATATATATATATATATATATATATATATATATATATATTAAACAACGTAGATAAATCAGAATAAAAATATTTTTTATTTTTAAAAATATCATATATGTATCCTTAAGAATATCTCGAGACTCAAAAGGTTAATGTCAAGCTATATTAATCACATTGGAACAAATTCTTTTGTAAACAGCGGCCCCCTAAGGGCCTATTCAAAATCCAAAAATATGAAATTGATCAATTTGCAATTTATCTTAGCGACCCACCAGCTACACGAAAAAAAAATACTTTTGAATAGATAAAATTAGTCAACAAAACGTCGTGGATAGAACAAATCTTCTTAATTCAATAGCAATGTTATTGAAAGTAATATTCGAGTTACTAAACCAAACACGTCATACATTGTTTTAATAATTCGAGTATCAGTTTCCATAATATTGCTATTAAAAAAAATCAATAAAATTTATTCCACCTACGGCGCGCTGTTGAACAATTCTGTTGATTCTGTTGATTTTCTTCCGCGTATTGGTATCATTAGCTTGAAAAATTACATGTGCCTGAAAAAATCATGTGCTTGTAATGCTAAGCTATATCGCTTGCACGGGAACGATCGCGCGGGAAGGATTCATCGGAGCGAACTTACTGCTTGATTGTATTTTCTCCATATTCGACAGGATTAAATTAGAAGAGGACGAACTGACGCGAACCGAGCCGGGCTTGGTTCGAAGATCTTTCGGATTTTCAGTGTGGATCAAATTGAAATACGAGTCCCACGAGGAGCTCACGGACCCTCGATCTTTCAGCCATGCTTTGTACATGTAATCCAAATACTGGCTGTTGGTCATGTTTAGAATGTTGTTCTTCCTATCGCCATTGCCAACATCGTGTTCACGGCGTATTGGATTCTTGCAGAAAAATCTGTTGCGGAGAAAAGATTCCTTACATTTACAAGATCCTTAACACGTGATGCAACGATCTCTCACGAAAGAAATCACACGTGTGTAACAGCAAACATTCATTGTCCACTACAACATTATCAAACTAAACACTATTAAATTAAAGGCCGATTTTTCCAAACTTCTGATAAATTAATTAACAGTGAACTCATATGTCTGTCTTTGTTTCTCCTTTAAATTAGACAAAGATAGATATATGATTTAACTATTAGACTTACTATTATTACTAAACTATTAAACTTAAGTTTAATTTAAGTGTTAGTTAACTTAAATTTAATTTAACTGTTAGTTATCTTAAGTTTAATTTAACTATTAATTAACTTAAGTTTCAAGAGATTGATACAATCGGCCCTGTGTGTGTCTTATACAATTACACACAAAAAATTCAAAATAATCTATGTAGAGAGAATCCTCTAAATAAATGTGATGGCAAACGTGTTAAGTCAGAACACAGATAGCATACGAACTGCCGATATAAGCGCGACACGGTACGCCGAATGATGTCTCGATGAGGTTGTAATCTCGTACAGTACATTGCCTCGTTAGTTGCTACACCACATACGAATACAAGTACGAGAAATGGTGCGACGCACGAGGAACAATGCGAAGGTCAAACGACTGAGCAATTTTTAAAGCTCGATCTTTCCAGACGAACTAATAATTTTCTTTTTCTGTTTCACTTTACAACTTTACGTCATCGCGTCAGTCAATCGTGATTAATTTTGTTTAGCTGTTTAGTCACACAAAATTTGGTTAGATTCTCGACTGATTATCTCGTCTCGGACGATTACAGATTTGAAACAAAGTTCACGTCTCTGTTTTTCGCTTGCTACAGTTTCGATTGTAAAAGTGTGATTCGCGTGATTCGCGTTAAATATATTAATTAAATATCAATTAAATATTCTAAATATATATTAATTAAATTTCATATAACTTAGATTTAATATATTTAACATATATATATAGAATGGATTAGAACGACTTTATGGTTTCCTCAAAAACGACTGAAGATCCAAATAGAAGATCCATTTTCAAGGTCCTTTGACTTCTTATTGGAGGATTCTTAGGCTACTCGATTTCTCAAAAATTTCAAGTAAAAAGGATATACTTTGAGTTCATATTTTGAAAATGCTCATAAAAAACAAGAAAATTTTGTGTTTAGCGACTTTTTTAGATTCTTAACTCTCTCTCTCTATTCTAGAAATTTTCAATAAATTTTATATTCTAAAAAATTTATAACATGCAAACATTTAATCTTTAATCCTAAACATAAAAATTATGTAAATCCTAAACATGGATAAATGTTACACAGCACATTTTTATTTACTCATCCAGACATCATAACATCCAGAAAAATTATCGACATTCAATATTTTTTTTAATCGGTGCAGAAAACTTTGAGGAATTTGGATCTATTATTTAAATCTATTAATATTTGCCACTCATGGAATTGAAAAAAATTATAATAAAAAAACAAAACACATATTTTTAAGAACAGTAATGTTTGAAAAATTATTTTAAATAAATTTTATCCATGTTCTAGAGTTAATGTTTGTACATTTTGTGATGCTATAACAAAACGTATTTAAAATAAGCTTGTTTTAAGAAATGCTCATTTATTGCGCTATAATTATAATTATATAAGATATTTGCATTTTAGTAATACAATAATTAATTGCGTTCTCTTTTCAGCGAAATAAGTAGCAATTTTCACGGCAAATGACTTCTTTTATGTACTGAAAAATTTCTTGTTGCATAAAGACGCATCGTTGCATACTTGTGCTAAACACTAAGTAGATAATATGTTAAAATATATTTATTTGAGTTAGAATTTTCTAATGACGAGACACATAAAGCCTTGGACTACTCGCCACTCAAGACTATGCAGATCTCTGCCTGTCGTGCGGAGCTAGATATGCTAGGTGGCGAGATATTAGGCTAATTCTAAGCAAGTAGTGATGTTCGAATCATCTCAAATGTGTCTTCAAATTTAGGAAACTGAAAGAATGTAAACATAACATTCTTACGTTTTTATAGCTTAAGAAGTTTTACGTTAATACAATTACAGTAGTAAGACTACCAAAAGTCGATATAAAAACATCCACTGATCTAAAAAACACACACAATGGATAAATCGCTTAATGATTGTTAAATGTCTTTGTTGTTTTGTTATATTTAGAGGAAAATGTTTAAGAAATAAACTGTTTAGTCAGAAGGGATAAATGTCGTGTGTGTCAGTGAACGCTTCCAATCACACAATTTATTCCTCTAAGAGCCGGTTTTTCAATAGTTTAACCCTGGATTTAAACCTGGATTCAAGTTTAAACTCTATTCTAACAATGTATTTGTTTTATTTAAACAGAACTTAAGTTGAAATCTAAGTTTAAACTATCATTGAAAAATCCCCTTACACATTTTCTGGTATAAAAAACAACAGAAATATTTTAGAACCTAACCTAACATTATGTAACTCACCTTGCATATATCGATGCGATGCATTAATATTTTCGTTTACAGTATTACAGCTTAAATAAAAGCATTTTTGTTCGTAGGGTGCTACCACTTCGGCGTTAGGCGACCACAGAGTCGTGAAAACAAGTTCTACGAAGAACTCATTGGAAACACATTTCATTAACAACCGAATTGTATCGAATAAGGTACTCTTATATGTATGCATTATTTCCAAATTACGCATTCTTCGACCAGTTCAATAAAGGGAAAGTCATATTTTTATTCGTAAAGATATTCAGCTAATATCGCTGAATGATTTTCACTGACTAAAAATCACGTGTGTGTGTCGCGCTATTATTTGTTTAAATATAACCAAGATATTATAATCGCGCTTATGTTTGCAATGTACAGTATACAATATGGAACTTCCTCCCGAAGAATCTCTTCGAGCAATTCCGGCGGGTAGCAAATTTTTATTTCCTGCTGACGACGATAATCGCGCTCTCTATAGAATCGCCCATTTCGCCGATGACCAGCGCCTTGCCTTTAGCGTTCGTCATCATTGTAACCGCGTGCAAGCAGGGATACGAGGATTATCTGCGCTACAAAATGGACCAGAAAGATAATCGGAGATCGGTCACCGTTATCCGTAATAAATGTATGCAGGTTCGTAACACGCCACATTACTAACGCGAAATCGCTCGCGCTTATTTCGCATCGTATTCTTTGCAATCACTTAATGTTAACACTTGCATTATAATGTTAATATTTGCAGAATATACATTGCGAACAAATAGTAGTGGGAGACCTCGTGAAAGTCTCTCGAGACGAGGAGGTGCCGTGTGATATGGTTCTTCTTTATAGCGAAACGCCGGGATGTTGTTATGTCACGACATCTAATCTCGATGGGGAAACAAATTTGAAGGTAATTGTTTCACTGGCAATTCACTGAGAATTGATAATTACCGGATTGGAAGGAAAGTAACGTTGTATCTTCCCAACACATATGATTTTAGTGTGTTTTATTAGAAAGACATTTCAATCTAGATGGTTTAAGTGGTATGCTATTGTGACAGTTGACCTATTGACCTAGTGACACCTCTAAGCGTTATTTAGTATGGAATATAGAAGCATTTATGTTCACTTGAAATCAAGAGAGAAAAAATGGGACAAAACAAGCTGTATTTTCGCTGTTTGATGCTGTTTTAAAAAACACGACGTAAACAAAAAGAAAATTTGTGCTGTGCATGGAGAAAATATTGTAACAAAACATAGAGATGGTTGCCGAAGTTTCATGTTAGTGATACGATATTCAAAGATGAGAAACGCTCTGATCGGCTGGCTGTTGCTGATGACGATTAAACCAAGATTTTAATCGAGAATAATCAGCGACACACAACACGAAAGATTGCAGAGATACTCCATTTATCATATATAACCGTCATCGAGCATTTACATAAGCTGGGATACGTGAATCACCTTGATGTCTGGATGTCATATGATTTATTTGAAAAAAACTTAGTCAATTGCATTTCCATCTGCTATTTATTATTTAAACGCAACAAAAACAATTCATTTGTTAAACAAATCATGACAGGCGGTAAAAAAATGAATTATCTGCAACAACGCAGTACGCAAACAGTCTTAAGGAAAGCGTTCAGAAAAACCGTTGACCACTCCAAAGCCTAAATTTTATTCGGAGAAGGTCATGCCATGTATTTGGTGAGACTAGAAGAGTGACGTATATAATGAGCTCCTTTCAAAAAACGTATGGCTTAATTCGGACTGTGTCCAAATGAATAAATTAAAGAAAGCCATTGCAGAAAAACGCCCAGAACTGGTGAATAGAAAAGGTCTTTTATTCTATCAAATCAATGCCACCCCTCATATATTTTTAACTACTTGGGAAATGATATTGCAACTTGGCTGGGATATTTTGTCACTCTCAACATATTCATTATTTATTGTTCTTTCGGACTACTACTCGTTCCGATCCTTGTAGAATTTCCTTAATAATAAAGACCTTCATATTTCTTTGGAAGAAGAAAAACTACCTTAAGCAATTCTTCACTGAGAAAACACCCGAGTCCTACGCACGAGGAATGCAGCTGCCCGAAAAATGGCAAAAAATTATAGAAAACATCAGCCATTACATTACTGATTGAAATTGTTTTTAAATATAAATAAATTTCCTCCGATTTTGAGATAAAAATACGACATTACCTTCCTTCCAATCCATTTTATTTTCGTCCATACGAAGGGTATGGAATCTATGTCCCAACGGAAAAGTTTCTTTGAGCAGATTTATAATATATAAAGTGTCGTAGAATTTGCGACGTCAAATCTACCCAGAGATTACGTTTATGCAATTCAGAAAGAATTTTCACTCAACAAAACGTCGAGGTACCAACCGTTTTGAGAGAGAAAATGATTAGGGAAGCAAAACTTTTTACGAACTAAACTTCGCACGACCAAATAAATAACTATTATTATTATCTCCGATCGATTTCAAATGACTTTAACAAAATTTTAATGTTGTACTTATCTATCTTAGCCGAGATATGTTATGTCGAAAATTAAAAAGTCATAAATAACGAGCACTCTCAACATTTTCGCCAAAGAAAAATTATTTCCAAAATACTGAGAGAAGTTCATAAAATTAAGACTGCGAATATATATTCAGGTATACCTAGTATTTAAAATCATTTAACATTAAATTCTAAAATATCTTTGTCGTTTTTAATTTTTTCATACCTTTAATTTCTTTTTTTAGAAGAGAGATATCTTTTATATTGATACAATTATAAAAATTTGTGAGGCCACTACTTCTCCACATTTGCTATCAAAATTTAATTTCAACATGGTGAACTCAAGATAGCGATGAAAACTTAAATATTTAAAATATGAGCTTTGAGTTTTCTTTTAAAAAAGTTTTAAGTACTTTTTTGAAAAACTAAATCAAAAGACTTTTTTAAAAAGTTTTAAATAACTATATTCTTTCAAAAATATTAAATTTAAAAATATACTAATTTTTTATGTATAAACTTAACTTTTCTCTTTAAAAAAGCTAAAGTAGAAGTCAATAGGCTTATTTTGATTATGATTATGATTATTATGATTATGATTTTTTCATAACCGGGGCATATATGTCCCGCTGGTACAGAAGGATTAATATTAGAGGAAAATATCTAAAGAATAGATCTAAAAAATAGATCTAAAGAATAGATTGTGTGATTAAAAGAGTTTGTACCAAACACAATACTGATCCTTTTCAATCACATAATTTATTTCTTACACTCTATTTACTCCTTTTCCTCTAAATATAATGAAACAATAGAGATATTTTAGAATCTAATATTAAATGACTCATTCTGTATAAAATTTTAAAATACTTTCGATTATCTTTTCAGACGTTACAAATCCCGAAAGTAATTTCGAAGATGTCACTTGAGCATATAGTGGGTTCAGAAGCAACGATCACGTGCCAGCATCCTCTGGCTGATCTTTACACCTTCTTTGGTAAACTCGAAATTAATGATGGTAACGAAGTGGCTAACGGACATTTGACAGTAGAAAATTTAATGCTTCGTGGATCACGACTGAAAGACACGGACTACGTAGTCGGCTGCACCGTTTACACCGGACAGGACACAAAACTGTCGCTCAACTCGAAAAACGTCAGCAATAAATTCTCAACTGTCGAGAGGTGATGATTGCTTCAATATTCGTACTTTCGTTATCGTATATCTTCAAGAATTCTACAAATAGCATCAGTTATCTGAGAAATTTTTCCATTTGAAATTATACTTATTGAACTTATACTTAGTCGAACTCTATCATTTGCAGAGCTATCAATAAATATCTTATCGTGTTTATCGTGTTACTGTCACTCGAAGTAGTAGCGTCGATTTTGATGAAACTGTACGTCGAAAGCTACGCGAATTGGGAAAGTTATTTAGGCTCGCACTACAAAACCACCTTTGCTACGCTGATTACGGATATCCTGAGTTTTGCTATCTTATTCAATTACATCATACCGATATCACTGTACGTCACTATCGGTAAGAAGCATTTACATTAGTAATTAGTAAGATCCTATAAGATCCGTAACTGAACTCTAAGATTGAACTGGAGGATTTACTATCTTGACAATTAAGATCACTGACCTTTCAAACTTACTGTGGTACAAATTTGTAACATCGATTTCCTCAAAAAGTGAATTTTCCAAAATATAAATATATTCTTGTAAATTTATTTATATACAAATTTATATTTATAAAATGTATTTATAAATTTATATTTATATGTATAAATTTATTTTTTATGAATATAAATCTATTTTTCATTCTGTTATTACTTTCACATCAACTTTCACATCAACTTTTATATCATTATATAGTCAAAAATTTCTGAGTTTTTTCCTTATATTAAAAAAATATAAAATTATGATATTGATCAATTCACACGCGCGCGCGGAATTAAGTTATAAGTGAGCAAAAATCATTGATGCAAATTTGCACCACAGCACCTATTCTTAATGTCTTCCGCCAAATGTATGCATTTGAAGGATGAATAAAGAAGATAGAGAGGTTTCCCAGCTTGCGCTGCCAATACATTATAATTACAAGTATTATTATTGTTGTTATTATTATTATTATTATATGTTCTCTCTATCTTTCGTATAATAATTTGAAAAATTAACTAAACGATCAATACTTTCTGATGCATCAATAAGAAAAAAGCTAGTAAGAGAGAGAGAAAGAGAGAAAGTCAACGCAAGATCTCAGTTACTAAATCCACTTAATCGTGAAAATAAAATAAAAGAATAATAATAATAGAGTAAAAAAAATAATAATAGAGTAATAAAAAAATAAAAAAAACAAAGAAAGAAAGTAGATCCATAAAAACTCTGTTGTAATATTACTTTTTTTCTACTGAAGAGGTTTGGAATGACAATCAAAATATTTGGGCAACTCTTGTAGGAATCCATTTGAATTCCTTTTTACGCGTTTCCTTTTATTTTCATAATTTCACACATTCTTCATTTTTTATTTTATTTTCACGATTGAACAGTCTTTGCAACTGAGATCTAGCGTTGATTTATTGACTTTTCTCTTCTTGTTGATTTGATAATTTGAAAGTTTTACAACCATATTACCAACGACGAGATGCGCGATAAGATCCCTTCAGAATTTCAGAAATTTCTCGGATCCTTCTTCTTTGGCTGGGATTTGGACATGTACGATAAAGATAAAGATCAGCCAGCACTCGCTAATACATCAGACTTAAATGAGGAGCTCGGTCAGGTTGAGTATCTGTTTACCGATAAGACTGGCACGCTCACTGAAAATCTGATGGTGTTCAGACGCTGCTCGATCGACGGGAATGTATACATGGAGAAAGATTGCGACGGAAATCTTTATCTATTACCGCAGAGCGGAAACGAAGAAGAAGCCGTGAAAATAAATTCGTGGCAGGTAAATTTGTAAAACGATCCAGTAAACATGATGACGTCAAATGACGTATTAGTGACATATTGATATCGGAGACGTTATACATAATTTCATACATAATACATAATTTCATGTCATCCTGATACTTAGGGAGTAAATAATTAATTTCAATTTTACCCCGATTCTCTTCATCCAGAAATCAAAATGTGGTATTATGTTTCATTATATCTTTAAGAAGGTTGTGGAGCAAAATGAGTTTGTTAAAAATTCATTGAAATTTGTACTACATATAAGTTGAAAAACTATCTAACTGTGTAATTAGAAAAAGATTGACTATTCAGAGCTGAGATATTTGAAACTAAAGTTGACACTTTTATATGGATTCCTCGAAGTTGGCGTAGTATTTTTGACTCCTTGTAAACTAAAATTATAAATATAAAGTTTCAGTAAAAAATTACTATGATATTAAAATATCGATATTTTATATGAATTACCGTAAGATGGGGTTACTTTGTCAATAGTGATAATTATCACTATTGACCAATATTCACTGTGTCACAAAGTAACCCCTACAGTCACAAAGTAACCCCATCTTACGGTACTAATATATCGATATTTTATATGAATTATTGATTTTGTTTGGAAAATATAACGATGGAAAATTTATAATTTATAGTAATATTCGAGTTGTATATACATATATTTAAACACTTATATGTCTCTTTTTATTATCTGTACATCTTTATTAAATTAACATATATAATTGAAGCATTAATAAAAAAAATTTTTTTAATAATATTTTTCATGTTGTTAATATTATGTATACGGGATGATTTTTTTTAAATAATTTCTTGTTCTTAAAATATCATAATCTTAAAGGAATTCTAAAGCAATGCTTTTTCTGCAAAATATTATCCGAAACTTAATATTTTCGAATTATAAAAATTAATTGTTTGTTACAAATGGGCAAAAGGTTAATAAACGCAATTCACTGTCAGACATGGGTGCTTTGGTGGGACAACAGATGTGTTTTAACTATGCGTAATTAACACTCCGTCTTCGTATTTGCAAAGTTTATTTTCCAATTAGATAAAACACGCATAATCGAATATTTTATCCACAAACGTCACATTATAATCATATCCCACATTTTTTATTTACGATATTTTAATTTAAAACACTTTTTACTTGCACTTTAATTGCACACGAATATCAATAGAAGTTATAAACATAATATGGTTGAGTGCCGTGACATAGGTGTATCACATATATCAATCAATTAATTGCACCAGACATCCCACATAAACGTCCGCGTCTGACGGTGAGTACTGTTGCCCCTGCCTATACTCTGAGGGAAAAATTATCTTAAAATTAACAAATATTTTATGGGTGCCATTAACATATTTGCTTAAATCTAAATTCTCTTTATTAAATCAAATATTGTTTACCTGATTTAAGTAAACAATATTTGGTTTAAATAAAGAGAATTTAGATTTAAATAAATATGTTAATGGCATTCATCAAAGAAATATTTGTTGATTTTAAGGTAATTTTTCTCTCAGTATATCTAACCCGTAATAAGCAAACTATTTATTTTTATTACTTGAAAATAAAATTTTAGATAACATCTTGTAAAAAGAAAAATCGTCTCAAATTCATTTGAGTGTGATATTAAAAAGAAAAAAACAGGAAGTTATTTTGAGTATGTGTATTTTATCTATACATGTATTCATCCCAACTTCATCTCAAATTAACATTTATTAGTTACAAAGAAACCCACACAAGTATCCGTCTCCGATTTTCATGAACTTGTAATATGTTGTACTTTAGATCAAAATAACAGATACGTTTTTTATTATATGTGCCCTTTCGCAAGTTTAGGGAGTGAAATATCCCTTTGAAGAAAATCAGTTTTTTCATTCGAAGGGAATATAATGAAAACTATAAGAGATAGAAAAAAATATTTCGAATAAAAGTTGAATAGTTTGAAGAGTACTTTACAGAAATTATTTTAATAATTATAATAAGAAGAAGTAGTGGGCGAAATATTAACAAAAAAATTTGTTTTCAAATAATTTCTGTAAAGTACTTTTCAAACAATTCAACTTTTATTCAAAATATTTTTTTTCAATAATTTTCAAATTATTGAAAATAATTTGAAAACTTCAAAATATTCAAATTATTAATTTTTTTCTATCTCTTATAATTTTCATTATATTTCCTTCAAATGAAAAAAATCGATTTTCTTCAAATTTCACCCTCTAAATTTGCGAAAGAGCACATATAATAAAAAACGTATGTGTTATTTTGATTTAAAGTACAACATATTCCAAGTTCATGAAAATCGGAGGCGGACACTTGTGTGGGTTTCCTTGTTAGATAATGAAACAAATGTATAGAACCGTAATAATGTTCGATAAATAGTAAATTTACGAAAGTACAACACTGACCTTTTTTCTACAACCTTCTTAAATGCTTTTAAAAGTCATTAATATTAAATATTTTGTGTTTCTTAAACAGCTATTACATATAGATTATGTTTACTACTATATTTTTACTATATTTTAATATATTTTTTTTTCATTTTTTTAGTTTTTTGCTTCTTCTTATCCTTTTCTTCTCTGCTTTTTATATTTTATTTTATTTTTTTGTTATTTTGTATGCAAAAAAGATGTCTTCCAATTTAATTAAATAAATAAATAAATGAAATGCACAACCGCAGGCGGAAATTTGGCACTTTATGATAAGTATCTCGCTGTGCCACATGGTACATATCGCGCCACCAAGTCAACGTCCAGTAGTTATAGCCAGACGTACGTTGTTCCGCGAGAGCTTCAGATTGAAGAAAATTACCAGAGTCAACAGCTCGCTGATGATGCATCCGGATTTACCCGAGTATCAGGTAAAAATAGTACCCACTCGCGCACGCAAACGTTAACGATTCCTGCCCACAATGAATACGAATGCGCGTAATTGTGTATCTTGTGTAAAGAAATAAACTAATGTGCGACATATGGCAGGCAGCATCGGCAGACGAGAAGGCGTTGGTGGAGGCAAGCGCCAGATGTGGCGTTGTTTTCCAAAAGGACACCAGCGAGGAGATGGAGATCAAGATGAACGGGAAAATCTTGATCTTCGAGAAGCTGGAGATACTAGAATTCAGTTCTGGTACGTGATCACAGTTGGATATCGGCATCAATCAATTGAAATTATACATAATTATACATTATACATATATGTGTGTATATATATTGAACAGAACGAAAGAGAATGTCGGTAATAGTGAAGGACGAAGCAAACGATTACTGGCTATATTGCAAGGGTGCGGACTCGGCCGTTTTTCCGTTGATCGTTAGTGGGAAAGTTGAAGAAGCGACCGCTCATGTTGCCGATTTCTCTATGGTTCGTTATCTCTCGCCAACGAAAATGATAATGATGCAAAATGCACGATAATAAGCGAGTCGATCGATATTCCCAAGCAGTATGCGAAATTGATCTAATCTAGACGTGACAATGAATAAAATTGTTCTGCCTAATTTTTCTTTAATTTTATTATTATTACTTTATTCTTCTACTATTTTATTATAATTCCATCTTAATTATTTGGTTTTTTCTTAACTCTCGGCATACCATCGTGTTACATTAATTAAATTGAATAATTGATTTATTTTAGATATAAGCAATTAATAAATTTCCCTTTTGTCCATTGCAAAACTTTTAAGAAAGAGTAAAAGTCATAAAATATAAAGAGTAAAAGTCATAAAATATCAATTTATGAATAATTAAAATTGCTAAAATATAATTGTAGTAAAGTTATAAGTATAAAAACTCGAAGATTAATATCAATTATCGCATGATAATAGACATTATCTGATCAATTACACCGAGGGTTAAGGGGGTGCTGAAGCTAAAAACTTTACTGACAGAATATTAACATTTTTTTGCAAAATTTACGTCGTATTGATTGTACAGAATTTGTACAAATACTTTAACGCTATAAAAGTACATGCAAAAATAAATAAGAGCATTGCTCAATATATGATGAAAACGAAAAAAAATTTTGAATGTAAAATCTCAAGCTGTCAATTAGCATAATATTTGCCTAATACAAAAGTTCCGCGGCTTGTACATATTGAAAATATGGATGCTTTAAGTAGAAAAATTTTGAAGAACATTTCTATATCTTTGCATCTAAATTCAGACACTTAAGAATACCCGAAAAGTTTTCAGAAAGATTTCTACATATGCATAGTTAAGTTTTCCGCTGAATATGATAAAATAAAGAAACACATTTATGTAAATTTTATATATACAAAAAATACAAAAAGGATAGCGTGCTTGTGTTAGTGACAGTCGTCTTTGCGTTATCGATATTATTCGAGTTCGTCATCGACTTCAACATCTCCTTAATATTCAAATAAGCAAGCAATCAGAATCTCAGCTAGAACACTTGTGTCTCGTCTGATTGGAGGAATCTCGCACTGTGCCACGCGATATCCCACGTCGCAAGATCTGTCAAGTCTTGCAATTTTCAGAGAGGCTTACGCACGCTAGTAGTAGCGTACAAAAAGATGAATCAGTCCGAGTACGAGCAACTGTTACGAGGCGTCGAACAGGCCCGGCAGATGATCGGCAGCGAGAGAACGACACAAGTGACACGTGCATATAATCGTATGGAGAGCGGACTCACCCTGCTCGGAGTAACCGCGGTGGAGGATCGCCTACAGGACGACGTGCAAGAAACCTTGGAGTGCTTGCGAGTCGCTGGAATTAAAGTTAGTTTATCATACGAGTTGGAATGTCACAAAACTGAAGATCGTAAAAAGAGTTTTGATTTGAGATTAAGAGTATCGCGACAACTCGATCAATTTCAAATTAATCCTTTGAATCTTGGCGTATTTAAGGATACGCTTTACACAAATATTTCTAAAAATAAAAATTTGTTTATCTATCTACTTCTAAGGCTACTCAATCAGACAGATATATTTCGGTATATTATTTGATTAATGTGTAATAAATGGCCCTCTATGGCCCATCAAAACATTCCCCCACTCTTCTACCCTAGCGCCACGGAGTCAGTGGTGGGGAAATATTTTGACGGGCCATGGTGGACCACTTTAGTAATTATTACTTTAGTAAGTTTATAGTTATTACTTTAGTAATTAGCACAAATACGTAAAAATGTTTCCTCGTACAACAAGAATTTTTTTCAGTATATAAAAATTTTTATGGCATTTGATATGCCATAAAAATTGAGGAAATATTTTAATGCCATCAAAATTGCTACTTCTTTTGCCGGAAAAAGAGAAAACGCAATTAATCCAATTATTATACTAATAAAAAGTAAATATTTTGGTTAAAATTATTATGTAATAAGTGAATGTTTCTTAACAAGCATATTTTCTAACAAGCATATTTTAAACATATTGTATTACTATAATAGCATCATAAAAAATACATTAAATTTTTGTATATTATGTTTAATATTTCTCTCTAATTAGATATTGATAACTAACTTATTTTGAAAAAATTATGAAATCAGTGATATTTTCCTCCAAAGCTTGTCATATTTTTCTCGAATTTGATGTATTATTTTTTCCTAATTAGCATTTTACTATTTCCCATTCAATCATGAATCTCTGTATTCATTTATAGATAGTTATAAAAAATAAACTGCAAATAGTGTATCATAGCTTGATTTGGACAAAGAATTTGATTTAGAAGTTATTGAGAAGCATTTTCAACATTTGAAGTTGGAGAAACTTAATTTTAAACCAATGATGCATGAATTTACCGAAACTGAAAAATTTGATATAAAAATAAAATGATAATAAAATTAAATTTTTTTTATTATTTTCTAATTCTTTACAATAATTTATTTCAATTTTTTCAACTAAAATCTTTTAAACGAAATTTTTCAAATATTGTAAAAATTTGCATCTATTCTTTCATTAAAATAACATAAATTTTTAAAACGAGAAACTCAAAGAATTAATATCACCCGAATATCGTGCTTAACGTGAATGTATCACAGGTATGGGTGCTTACCGGAGATAAAGCAGAAACCGCAGAGAACATCGCTTTCCTCTGCGGTCATTTCAAAAAGGGTACAGAGATTTTACGTCTGATGGGAGAGACTTCAGGACAAACGTGCTTCTTGATCCTGACAATTTTTGAGTAAGTGCGACTCAAAGCATATTAAATGCACTCGTCATCAAATGTTACCTTTTTCTTTATGAAGCTGTTAATCATCAATTGTAACATTAAGTAACGTTACTAAAACGTATCGTTTTTTCTATTTCATACAGACGGAAAGTGAAACTGGAACCATATAAGCAATATGGATTGATAATAGACGGTACGAGTATAACAACGACATTGCAAAATTGCCCGGAATTATTGAAAACTGTCGGAATGGCTTGCGAAGCGGTCGTTTGTTGCAGGCTAACGCCCTTACAAAAGAGCAAGGTAAAGAAGAGAAAGAAAGAACATTACCATGCTCACATGTCACACCGATGACGTGAGTTTCATTGGCGCACTTTGTATTGTACTGGATGGAGCAGAGAAAATGCGAATGTGCTAAAAGAATATCCTAAGTTATTCTACGTTAATCTCGCACAACTAGTTTACGATGTCGATAATGATTCTTTCAATATGCACAACATATAGCCTTTGCTTGTGCATAGAATTACATTGCATTTTCACACGTACTACTCAAAAAAATATGGTATCAAAAAAAGGCAAAAATAGGTGAAATTTGAATGAGCATTATTTCGTAAAAAAATCATTATTCAAACATTTTTATTAATATCAATTGTAAAATATCTATTGTAAAAAATTATTGCTAGATTTTTATTTTATAACATTCTTGTCTCACTATTCTCCCAAAAAATGAGAACGTGCACTGAGAGAAATTATCCGATAACAAATTAACAAACGGATATTTCCTATCAAAATATCGATTAATTCTTATATTCAATTAGGAAACACCCAATGAGAAATATTGATTCATAATTTTTTAATTAGTTTATCTAATGGAATGCCATTATGATCGGAAGTATCCGATAAAATTTAATCGAATATCCTGGTCGGATATAAAAATTGATCGAAAATATTCATTTGTTCATTTTTTATCAGATTTCTCTCAGTGTAGTTTTTATAGTAAAAATTGCATATTTCCGTAATCTATAGAATTAACAAAAATGTTTCCTGAATTTCATATATAGGATTATAAAGATTTATTTTTCCCTCCTTCAATGAAAACAGTAGAAATTATGTGTACATTTTTTTTCGCCACATACCACATACGTACACGCGCACATACATGTATATATCTACACACACCCCAAAAGTTATCCGAACATTTTGATCATCTACTGCCGACATTGAGTGCGTTCAGGAGACAGGGTTGAGTAATTAGTCAACGTAATTGGTCTAAAGTTAGGGATCTAACAATAAGGACCAATAATCACTGACCGCTCACTGATCAGCTGTGTTTTCTGAACGCAGCCATTGACATTACGCGATCATAGGGAAATTTCCAAGTGAACAATGGCTTCTTATAATATGAATATTGTACTCTTGAAATAAAAAAAACATACGATGATTTTACACGGTATATACAGAGCGTATTCAAATTTTATCTATTTTTGTTTACAATTTTTTAACGCCATATTTCTTTTGAGCAGTATATATTGAACTAAAAGACTCGCAAGACCGATTCTCGCATTTTCTTTAATCGTATCCTCGCACGCATTCCGTTTATAAAAATTAACAAAATACTGGCACTCGTGTTTATTCATATGGTTTAAATAAAGCAATATTGATTTTTATAATTTGAATAATTGATTTTAACTAACAATATTTTTGTATCTTCTTTGTCTAAGATATAAGTATAATATACATAGAGAGAATATTGAGAGATAATATAATGAGAGAGTATTGTGCTCTTATTTATATAAATAGTTTTCAATTTTACTATATTTTCTATACTGAGAGAAAAAATAAATTAAATGTAACTAACACACACACACACACACACACACACACACACACATATATATATATATATATATATATATATATATATATATAGAATCATTAATAAATAATCATTTCGTTAAGATATTTGAGTACTCACATCATCCATTTCTTTTTAATAATGTTAGAAGCAAGAAAACGCATGCTAAAAATTCTTGTCAAGATATATCCATAAAATGACACTTGCGATCAATTAAGAGCACACGATTAAACACACCTTAATATATTTAGTGTACTTTCCTTACACTCTAATCAATAAATAATCGTAAAATTAATATGACAGAATAATAAGAAAATTAGATTAAAAAAGAAAATTGTCAAGTTAATTTTATGCTTATTTATTAATCGTTAGAAAGTAAAAAAATGTTCGGGATATTTTTGAAGTCATTTCAAAAGAGTGAGTCTAATGTAATATTTGAGATTTTCGCGGTGTTCATGAATATTAAATTTGGTTTCCGGGTTTGAACCGCGTAGATTTTTCTTTGTCTGATTCCGACGTTTCACGAACATTTCAGTCCGCTTCATCAGGCAAGAACAATCCGATGCTAGAGAGTCTAATGTATCAGAATGAAATATTCCCTGAATATTTCTCAGATATACCTTACAGATAGTTTAGAAAATAATTATTACTTGAATTAATACTATATTAATCAAGAAGTTTTCTTCAGCATAGAATTTATCTTGCTGAGGAAGCTTAGTAAATTATTTAATAATAGATTTCAGTTCCTAAAATATAAACACACCGAATATGAAGCGGAGGAATAATAAATTACGGCAGATTGTCGATATTACAAAATTCTATGCAGTAAATTTTACTATAAAATTCTCTCCATGTATAAAGGCCTTCTGCAAGATGACAAGGAAGATACAAAACGACAGATTGTAATTATTAAACGTGTGGCTAATTTATACAGATTGTGCACCTGATAAAAAATGCACGAAGCCGTCCGCATACCGCGGCTATCGGCGACGGCGGTAACGACGTGTCAATGATACAAGAGGCGCACGTGGGATTCGGGATATTGGGAAAAGAAGGTCGTCAGGCTTCCATGTCGGCTGACTTCGCCTTCTCGAAATTTATGTATCTGAAAAAGGCGTTGCTGGTGCACGGTCACTGGTACTACCAGCGCATCAGCATCTTTTCGCAATATTTCTTTTATAAAAACTTGATCTTCATGACGCCGCAAGTATTATATGGCCTGCATAATGGATTCTCTACGCAAGTAAGAATATCATCTTATGAAAAAAAAAAGAAAAATGTGCTAGTAGTTATATTTTCGGAAGGAACCTTCAGGTTTTTGTGTCTTTTCATTGTAGGAACTTTATGACAGTATGTTCTTGATGTTGTTCAACATGATATTCACGACGCTTCCAATACTACTGTATGGATTATTCGAGCAAAACTACAGTGCGGAAAAACTCATACAACATCCGTACCTGTACAAACTAAATCGAAATAATTATTTAATGTCGAGACAACAGTTCATGATATGGATGCTACTAAGTGCGTAATTGTAGAAAGATCAATGAGTATTTATAAATACAGCCAAATGTAAATGATAAAAAGAAACATTAACGACTGTGATTTATTGTCGCCGTTATTCTTTTTAGGCATATGGCATACGTGTGTGATATATTTTGTAGTATACTCTCTCACGCTCACCAATTCCGCATATTTATATGACAACACAACGGTTGGACAATGGACTTTTAGCACTAATATTTTTCATCTAGTCGTTCTAATAGCGAATGTTCAGGTGTGTATTAACGTCATCGCCGTGAGAATATCGGCGAGTAGCTTAACAATCTTATACAACGATAATATGATTTCAGATATTGCTACGTAGTTCCTACTGGACGTCGTGGTTTGTTCTAAGCGTAGTGCTGTCCCAATTAACATTCTTCTTATTCACGTTTAGTTACTCGTTGGTAAAAAAGTAAGTGAGCATTTTACAATGTCGAGAATTATCTATGATAAATTATAATTATCCTGATGGAAAAAATTTGCTGAAAATACAAAAAAATCGTCTAAAAGAGAAATTAAAGTTATTAAAAAGTCACTGAAAACATTTTATGATGAATCATGATTTTCATTATAAATTGTTATAAAAAGTATGATGAAACAATGAATTTTAAATAAATATTGATGAAAAGTAATGAAAATATTTTGAAATATTTGATATTATAAAATCTACTAAATTCCAATGAAAAATGAATAAATTGTATTGAAACTTTGCTGAAATATTGATGGAAAAAATTCGTGAAAACATTTCTCAATAATTTTCAAAATTTTGCTGAATTACGCTGATGAAACAATAATAATAATACATAATTAATTGTAAATAAGTACTTTATGCACTTCATTTATTGTTCAATAAAAAACTTCGTGAAAAAATTTTGAATAAATAACGAAATCGTGCTGAATTTCACTGACAATTAATGTCTCTGTAGTCGCCGTGCGCTCAGGATCGCGCCAGAGATGTCGCTTCCGAACGGCATCTCTGAGCGTTATTTAGGAAGAGGAGAGTATCGTGAGCGTGGAGCGTCAGGTAGCTCAGTGGTTTAGAGCAGTCGCCCGGCAAGCGAAAGACCCGGGTTTTCGAGTCCCGACCTAGCAGGACCGCGCTCTCGATATTTTTCTCTTTCTGGAACGAAAAAGATACGCAGATCTCGAACGCACGGCGTCCCGCCGCCACCTAGTATGCTCTCCTCCTTCTCGATATGACTCATTTAATTCCTTCGTTTAATTTAGGATATATAAAAAAGCTACCAAGAAACTATAAAAGTAATTTACGTACGTCGCGACCCTTAGTCTTTTTTTCGCTTCCGCCGCGCGTTTATCCTTCTTCATTCGGATCGACCATTTTATATTGACCTTTCACACCGGCAGGCCTGCTGGCGCGCTTCTGCGTGAAATATTTTTTTGAGACGACGTACGTAAATTAATTGTCAGTGAAATTAAATTAGCCAATTAAAATTTAATTTTTTTTATTCTTCTATATACAAGAATATGAAAACTCTCTCTCATTGAAATATCAATGAAAATTATTGAAATATATGGGAATCTGATTTCTTCACTATGTTTCAACATAAATTCATACGATTGTTAATTTGCATCTAATATTGCATTTAGAGCAATATTGCATCTAGAGCAATCGTTAATTAGCATATGTAATATTTGCATGTAGATTAAAAGAAATGAAAGAAGGATGTGTAAAAAGAGCCATTTTTAGTCCAGTTCCGGAACTTTTCTTAACCATTGGAAACTGTTTTTGGGAAACTATTTTTTAGAAACTGGAAAAAATAATTATTTATCCACCAGGTCTGGGGAAAGTTATAAAAATGGCGATTTATTATTAACTGTTGACATAGTCATATGAAATAATATTTTCGAAGCTTTGTCTTCTCAATATATTTATGTAAAATACTATCAATTGAATATTTGTGATGGAAAGTGTGCAGAAAATGTAGAGGGAGAGGAAGAAGTTTGTTATTTTATTAATATATTATATAAGATTTAGAAAAAGTGTCGAAGTTTCATGATATTTCGAAGAATACACGTTTTCGAAAAAAAAGGTTCATACAAAAATTATAGGATTTTAACTGGCGCTTTACGTAGTTGTATTAATATTACCTTGAATAATATTGTCAAAGTCATGTGAAAGTCACTTTTCACTAAAGGGAAACCTGAGTTTTCATTATATATTCCTATAGCCTTCCTTGAGACTCTTCCACAGCACTTCTTCTTTTTCACGTATCATTGCTGGACGCCAGCAATCACAATGGCTCTATTATCCTCCGCCACGCGGGAGAATTCCTCTATTTTTCAGATTTAAAAAGAATCCCATAAATTCACGGACTATCGTCTAATTAGTTTTATAAGTCACATGCTAAAAACATATGCATATTCTTCGTATTATTCTGGATATCTGTATACGAGCAAAATGTGAGATGGATTTGGGTGACTCACAGTTCAGCTTCAGGAGCGTTTTCGGCATGCTCATCGGCTTTAGATCACGTTTCGGCACGTTCTCTTAGAAAAGTGTCGCAACCATCGGCAGAATGTATTTCTATGCTTTGCGGACTGCGAGGTGACATTTAATCGCGTGCGCCATACTAGACTCATTGAACTTTTACTTGAAGCAGAAGTAGATGAAAAGAATGTCCGAATAATAAAAAACTTATAACAGAAAGTCGACATACTAATACAACTACGTAAAGCGCCAGTTAAAATCCTATAATTTTTATATGAACTTTTTTTCGAAAATGCGTATTCTTCGAAATATCATGAAACTTCAACACTTTTTCTAAATCTTATATAATATATTAATAAAATAACAAACTTCTTCCTCTCCTTCTACATTTTATGCACACTTTCTATCATATAATTGATAGTATTTTACATAAACATATTGAGAAGACAAAGCTTCGAAAATATAATTTCATATGACTATATCAACAGTTAATAATAAATCGCCATTTTTATAACTTTCCCCAGACCTAGTGGATAAATAATTATTTTTTCTAAAACATCCCAAAAACAGTTTCCAATGGTTAAAAAAAATTCCGGAACTGGACTAAAAATGGCCCTTTTTACACATCCTCCTTTCATATTATTTATAAAGATAGTCTTTTTAATTAGATGTATGGGTGTCTTTAAAAAAATAATTACAAATTTAAAGAAGTACCACATAATTATTTTAGTGAAAATATCCATATTTATTGTAATAGAAGTACATTACACATATAAACATAAATATATATGTATATATATAAATTTTAACCTTTAATCTCTCAAATATTTATATGGAACAGTGCTAACATAATAATGATAAACATGCTGAATAATATTTTTCTTGATTTTAAATTTTAATGATTTTCTACTGAATTTTATTGAAACTTACTGAAATTGACTAAAATTTCGCTGATTTTCAATGAATATTGCTAAAATCATAATAAAAGTGGGTCAATTGATAAAGTTTTTCAGCAAAATTTCAGCACATTCATTATGTTTTCAGCAAATTTCATTATATTTTCAGCAAAATTTTTCCATCGAAGTAGTTGAGATAGTAAATTTTATCTACAAACGCGTAAGCGAAATATAAGCA